CGCACTTAACAATATACATACACATAGCACCGACTAAAAATTTACATTTTCGAGTTTTTTGGTATGCTATCTAAAACAATGACCTATGACTAATGAATGATAAAACTATTACAAATAAGCAATATGTAATGAAAATAATATTTACAAGCAAAAAATAAAAATACAAAATTCCACTTGCACAGTGTACAATTTAGCGAACATTTGCTAGCAGATATGCAATTAAATGAAAAATTGCAAAATATTTCCTTTTACATACACAGTTACGCATTTTTCTCAAAATTTGGGACTCATAAAAATCTGAGTCCACACTTCAAAATGATTTTTTAATCACTACTGGACGCAGTACACTCTACTAAGAGCGCTTGTGGCTGGCCTTGAAAGCTGGCGCCGCCAACATTCGCACCACACAAATTGATTATTCGATATACTTTTTATTTTTTTATTCATTTCATTTAAATTAAATTTTTTTTTTATTACCTAACGTAAATATGTTTGATCGTTACCTACTTTAATTTTGTATTTTTTAATTATTCTTTGTCTTCATGCTTCTTCTTATTGCAGTGTTTAAATTCATTGAATTCTTAGTAATTTGCTTTCTTTTTTCGCATTTTTTCGTATTACACACACATTTAAAACTATTTATTTTATTATTGTTGCTGTTGTTTGCTTCTTCACTTTTCATAAATTTTTTTTTTATTGTAATTAATTATAATTTTTTTTTGTTTACCTATAAACAATTCGTTACAATTACCAAATGCATTTTGTTTAAGTTTTCTTTATTATAATAGATTTTTCTTCAGTATTCGTTGCCGAATCAAAATTCAGCTGATTAATTTTTTTCATACCCGCAGATATACATGTTTTTTTTTTTTTAAATATTGAATCTTTTTGGTTTTATTTCAACAAATGATTAATAATAAAGTCGAAAGTGTAGGAAATTTGTTTTGAAAGTGGTCCATACTCCTTAATACATTCGTTACGTCGCATTACTGAAATTATTCAACTGAAACCCCATAAAGACTTACATAATTAAATATTTTCAATTGTTGACAAAAAAAAAAACTATTTTAAATCTAGATATATAGATCTTTTAAATTTTCAGAAATAATCAGCCTTTTATTTTAAAAATTTTGGCAACCAGATTTATTTAATATTTGAAAAAACTGCTTCGATAACTTTTGCTTTTCATAAATTATCGAATATTTATAACCGTAATTTTAAATCGAGAATTTAAAACGAAATTAAAAAAAAATAATAATAAGCACAACTTTTTATATTATTTCTAACTAGAAAAAACACCTTGAAACTATGTATAACCGCGAAATTTTTTTTCCAAGTTTTACCCCATAATCGTTTCGCACAGTGTAAGTTATGTATTCAATTTCAAGCATTTTAATATTTCCAAAAAAAGGAAAATGAAATTACAAAGCCATTCAACAAAACCCTCAACAGCAACGTAGGTAAATACATGTTTAGGAAGGAACTACAACCAAATGTAAGCATGTCGGAGCTGGGGTTGGGAAATATGTAGTTGCAATATAAGAAAGAACTATTTCAAAAAAACAAAAAAGAAACCCAAAACATTAGGCACAAAAAGTTTGCATAAATTCGCGAAATCATTAAAAAAGTCATTTGCATTGACTAGGCAAACGTTTAAAAAATAATAACTAAACTGTAAAATCATTAATAAATGTGTACATCCAAAAATCAGCAAAACATATAATATATATATATTTTTTTTTTAAATTATCCTGCAGCCGATAGTTATAATATTTGATATTAGAAGAACAAATGTAATTTGAAACAATTACAAGAAAATAAATATTAAAAATAATGAACGAAAAAAACACTGCAACCAAAATATATAAAACAAGAAATTAAATCATTAATAATAAAGATAAATCATGAATACAAAGAAATGCTAGCCGATTACAATGATTTTCAGGCGTTTGAAATAAATAAGAATAAAACAATTCAAAAAAAAATAAAAAAAATAAATAAAACACACGAAATGAATACTAGAAATCAGCCTAAAAGTAATAATGGCTAAGCATGGAACAGAAAGTCATCTTGTTATAATCGTAGTTTTGCTTATTTTTTAATAAAACACTAATATCAAAATCAACAGGCCCTACAAAATTTTGAAATAGACGAAGGACAACAATCCCTTGGGGGTGATATGGAAAATTTGTGATATGGATTTAAGTGAAGTGACCCTATTCAACATAAATGAGTCGTTGGCACGACAGTCGGGTCTACGTAACCGAAACAATCCAGCTCCCCGAAAATTTTTTGGGGAATATGTATGCTGTTACAACAACATGCCGCACTCCTTTTCCTCGAATCATCTGGTTCGCAGTCTAAAAAAGATGTGCTTAGGCTTTCCACGTTCTTATTTGCGTTATGATCTAGATGCGTGCTGGTATATAATTTGCATGGTTTCCAATAAGCACATCATGGAAATGCGTAGAAATTTGCCATCATCTAAAACAAATTTTCTTATTTGCAGTTAACTACTATGAAAAGCAGCACACAGTATAAGAGCATTGTCAAATAATTTGAACTAATATCCGTCGCGCACATACCCAAACTTTTCGCTTCATTTGTTAACTTTCTGGTAAACAATTTATTAATTAAAAAAAGTATGTGCCAACTTAAGGCAATTCATAGAAAATTTAAACACATGATATGCTCATTTTAAACCCAAATCCTTCTCGATTGTATGCGCACAGACCGCCATCATTTGATCCTTGACACGCTGGAAGCTTTCAATTGCAATAGGCTTAGCCTCGGGCCATTGACCTAGGTCACGATAAATTGGACGACAGAATTTCATGCGGAAGTTCGAGTTGGCAAATGCAATGATTTCTTCGATACGCTTCAGCAGTCGTGCTCGGATAACCAAGCGCAAGACGCGGAAGCGCACTTCGGCATTCTTTGTGCTCTTCAAATTGTATGTGCTCTCAAGCAATTCGATTTTATCCTCATTTAACTCGACTATTTCTTGGCATTCGATTAATCTGCCTAGAAAATCAATTAGTTGAAGAGAAGAAATGGACTTAGTGATTTGCGTGTCGAGGCGTAGGTCAGCAGTGGACTTGGTGCTCCACAATACGGCCAATTGCTTTGAGACATTTGCAAGTGTCTCATCGAATCTGAAATGTTTCAACAAAATACATACATATGTATGAAATTATTGTTTAAGTTTAACACCTATGTATATTAATATGATTACTTTGGAATTATTGGCGGCAGTCCCTCCTTGTGTAGCCACAAATCCCAATCGATTTCGGTTAGCTTATCCTTCTTATCGGTTTTATTGAAGTAATCATACAAGGCAGCTTTGAAATCGTCAGTCACAACCGATTTGTAGGCATACTGTTGCAAGTAGCTGCGCAGGAATGGCTCAAACACTTCAGGTCCACCAAGTAGATCTTCGATGTACCGCAGGAATGTTGAGCCTTTGATGTAGGGCACGCTGGAGAAGGCATCGTCGGGACCGCAGTTAGATAGATCCACAACTAGCTTTGTCAGCTCCGGGCTATTAGCTAATTGTGTGCGGATCTGTGGGAGAGATATTAAAAAAGGAGTAGTAAGTATAAAAAATGTAGGAGCTTTCACTTCAAATGATTTTTGTACTCACGCACTCCTGCAAATCGGTCAGATTGCGCAGCATATGAAAATCACGCTCCTTATTGCCTTGCATGCGTCCCACAATTTTCGTTTCAACGAATACAGTGAATCCCTCATTCAACCAGAAATGTTCGAAGTTTTTATTCGTAACCAAATTACCAGTCCAGCTATGCGCAATTTCATGTGCCACTACATCTGCCAAAGACTTATCACCGGCCAGCAATGTGGGCGTTACAAATGTAAGGCAAGGGTTTTCCATGCCCCCAAAGGGGAATGATGGCGGCATAACCAGCAAGTCATATTGTTTCCAAACATATGGGCCACAAATGTCCGATGCAGTCTTCAACATCTGAGCAGTTTGTGAGAATTCCTCAGCACTAGCGTCTACAATACCGGCCTCTGCCCAGACATTGGAATTGGCACCCAATGGACGAGAAACGAGATCTCCAATGGCAATGGCTAATAAATAAGCCGGTATGGGCACATCTTGCTTGAAAGTGGTTACACCTGCTTCTTTTTTCTCAATTAAGGCGCTCATCAGTGCAGTTAGTTCCTTTGGATGCTGTACGGTGGCTTCGTAAGTAAATTTAACGGCCGGTGTATCCTGGCATGGCAGTACGGAACGTGCATGAATCGCTTGACACTGACTGAACAGATAAGGGTGCTGTTTGCCTAGAGTCTGCTCTGGTGTGAGCCATTGCAGGGCGCTGGCGCGATTAGAAGTCTCATAGTCTATGCGTACAAGAAGGCTGTTGAGAATGAGAGGTTGTGAGTTTATCATTTGCAGAATTAGTCACACACTTAATGGTAAGTATAAACTATGCATACACATATACATATATGTATGTAGGTATATAAGTACAGTGTATAAATATATATCGACTATATGTATATGAAAATAAAACTTTAGAAGCCTTTTTGGAGCATTTTTTTTTCTTTTTGAATTTATACACGATGATTTACCGTCAAAAGAACTTTTTTGGTAAACTATATAAAACTATATTTTCGATCATCACTAGAAACTATAACGTGTCTTAACACATATGTTCAATGCATAAAACGATAAGCTCACTTGATTTATGAATAAGAATTTATGGAGGTGTTGACTTTTCAGAGCTAAAGATAAGTTTGCCGTGGCAACTGCAACACTTAACTAACTACTATATGCTAAAATTAAATCGGTGTTCCCGCTCAAAACTCTAAAAGTGTATTTTTGTACTTACTCTCCCTTAGCTGTACCTTCCGGCAATTCCAAAGTCAACTTAGCACCAATATCCTCTACAGGATCACTGGCAAAGTAGTTAATTGGAATAGATGAGCCGCCGTTACATATAATAGATGCATTATTAACGGTGATGTCACGCACATCCAACAGCTAAGCATAAGTAAGCAATTTATTGAAAATACAACAGAATTAAATATACATGTGTTAGCAGACACGACCACACTTACAATAGCCGGCAAGTTGGTCTCCAGTACATTGAAGTGGTGCGTCACACTGCCTAAAAGCTTTGTATTCGCAAAATCTACGGTCCACTTAAGTGCACTGTGTTTGGTGGTGATGCGCTCGGGCTCCGAGTAGGAACTGGGATCTACTTTCCCCAAACGACCCATATTGCGTTGCTGAAGTGCGGAAACAAATGAAGTGCCACCGGTTTTGCGTTGTTTCAAAAGGCGTTTCTGCGTGCTCACTGAACGTGTTATAGCTGAAAATACAGTAATTTATGTACATATATAATTTAGGTCTGCACGAAATCCAAAAAGTTCTACTTCAGATGTTTAATCAACATACTCCTTATCTGGTAATAAATAATGTTAATCTTATCACGTCTATTGGCTGCGTACGTTTTGGTAAAATGCAGTATTGCACAATTAAATTAAATACTATTGGTACTTCTTTTTATACGATGAGAACATCTACCTCAAAGCGAGTGGGCGTTTCAAATTGACCAAAATAAATTTATTCCTCCGATATGATCAGTAATACAACTAAAACTGGAAAAATTTGCAGCCACGACACGAATGAAGTTAAAAGAGTAAATCAATAAAAACAAAAAAATTAAAGAATGCAGTCAAAGAGATAAAACTCGATTGGTCAAATAATTGCGTTACCAGACAGCATACAAATCCATGATTCGAGTTTGCACAAATCGATATAAATAAATGAATGTAATGAATGAGATTACCAACTGTAAATTAAATAGAGCATAATCATACAAAAAGGAATGTATTTATTATATAATAAAAACAATTACACTGCATGGTGTTTTTGTTTTCTGCTTCAAATTAATTCAAACTATAATCGAGTACCTAGCTATCGATATGATATCGAGTACCGGTTTTACCGGAAAGGCGCTACGCTACTTTGTGTTGTTCGGCCTACAAAGGTTTGAGAAACTGATTTTTAACTACAGTAAATGCGTGTATATACATAAGCACTAAATTTTTTAGAATTAAATATAATCTTATATAATATAAAAACTTTTGCATCATTTATCAGTAGCACAACCATATTCGTTTCCACGGTAGTCGGGTCTACGGAGCGACTCAGGTTTACATACATACGTACACACTCTGGCTCAGGACTACAACTCCGACAGATTCCTCAAATGTCGCTGGGCAATTTATATGCTACTACAGTAACAACTACAAACACTACCCATAATAAATCCATAGTTCAAGGAGCACCTATTACTATTTAAATAAATTTTCATCTATTGTTGTTTTTAAGTTACAAGAAAATTTTTATTTAAAAACAAGATTTAGCGGGGGGTATAGAGTTAGATAATCTGCTACCATCACCACAATATACAAATCTGTTTTCTTCTAATGCCTCTTCAACGCAATATATAATCTTTCGGATAATCCAAAATTGCCGGGAAGTTTTCCAGGGTTTCCTTATCGATATGATCAAGACGTTGAGGTACTTCTCGCGGTGTTCTAATTTGATTTGTTACATTAGCCAATATCTCTTCAGGCACTTGATCGTCGGCAAACAAATGCAATCTTTGCATTGTATGTCTGCGTTGTAAATTGCCACGCATTGAATTGTAAACCGCCTTCTTCATAACCATTGTTGGATCCTTTTCGTGTAACTGCCACGCCAGCGTCCAAGAAGCGCCGCCTGGGTAACCGGTATGATGGAAGTAAACACGCTTAATCCATTCATCGCCTGGTAGCGCAATTTCTTTTGTGTTTATGCAAACTACATGATCTCCGCAATCATCTGGAAGTTTAGAAGAAGAAAATGTGCTAAGCTTGAGTACCAATAAAGTAATTGAAGAAATAGTTGTATCCTAAAAGTAGAAGGCATTACTGGTTGCGAACTAAAAGTGGATAATATATTTTGTATTTACCAGCAAAGAATTTTGTTTAAATGTACTATTTCACTATTCACAATTATCTACGCATAGAGTGCGGAGAATAATCTAAATCTTCTCTAGCTGTAGCGCTCAATTCGCTATTAGTCACATATGGTTTAGAAAGTAATATTAGATAACTTGCGCATCCTAATTGAACATTAGTATTCAACCATGCCTGTCTACCGACTTTATTAGCACCATTTTGTATATGTTGGATGTAACTATATGCAAGCAGGGTTATTCATTCATATTGTTCAACTTACTCATTGGATGGTAAATTGGCTTGTGCAATCCCATTATATGCTTCTTTATCAGCAACGCCGAATCAAATGGGTTCTGCCAGGTACAATCGTATATGTGCCATGTTCGCGCAAAAGTGGCCCATTGCTATAAGTGGAAGCAGTTGTTATTCCTGATTTTACGGTTACACAAATATGCTTACCTGCACACGCTTGGCTATGGACATTTTTACGGATTTTTAGTACAACACTCTAGTGAAATTTGCTGTTAAATAACAATTTCCTCACCAATAGCGCAGCTCAGCTGGAGAATGGTGTGCTCAGAGCCGGCGTGTTGCCAGATCTGTAAGAGGTAATGTACACAACGAAATAAAATAAGTAAACGGAGAATTTGTGTACACTTACTGGCTTATACTGGCAATATTGTATATAAAAAAACAGCTAAACATTATTCAATACACAAATTTGTCCCAAATTGTTTTTGAAGCTGAAATTTCAACGAATAGTAAATGTAAACAATGGGATTTTGCTAAAATTGCGCGCGTTGGTAGCGCTACAGAGCGCATCAGCTGGCCAAAAATTTACTTAGGTATGTGAAACAATGTCGACTATGACGAACAGTTCATTATCGAGTTTGCGCAAACTTGAAAGTTTTTATTTGGGTTTCTTCGTTTTGGTAATTGCTTTGTTTATGCTAGTAAGGCCTACTTAAGTAGAGATTGTTGATTAACTTCCACTCTTCATTTGCAGATCATGCATTTAATTTGCACTTAAATATTGGCTATTTAAATATGAGATATGCAACCCTGTCTTTGTACGAAACAACCAAGATTTATTGGTAGGTTGTTTAATAAATCCCACTAAATCCCACCAAAAAACAATTAGCTTTTTAGCACAAAATGTAAACAAACAAGCAAATGCAACAACAATTTCAAGGAACAAGCAGCAGTGCTGCCAATTGTTTGGCATATTTAAACAAAGTCGATCTGAAACCCAACGAAACTTAAATGGCATTTAAACTACAATCCACAATTAAACTTAAGTGTCATCAAAATATTCATTTGAAATTGGCCATAAAAATAGCAAATTTGCACGAGCATCGGCGTAGCCAGAATGAAATTTAGGGGGGGCTCGACCATATTAAGCTGGAATTTCAGGGTACTATTTTATATAAATATAAGTAAATTTGAAAGTTAGGGGGGGCTCGAGCACCCCCCTGCCCCTACCTGGCTACGCTCGTGCTGCACGAGTACTTACTAAACCGGGAAAAGTATAATTAAATGAAATATCTAATATTCACTTAAACAAATATTTAACGCGAAGGCAGATTATTTGAATCAAGTTAAAAGATGCAACACTAATTTGCCAGTGCTACCAAACCGTACTGCCAAATTATCAGTGACACAAACCAAACAGAGCGGATTATAAATTGAACCAGATTTATTTCAAGATCATATCCTTGTTGTTGTATTTGCGTGTATATTTTGTATCCGGAACCCGATGATTGCCCAAAAAACACAGCTATGGCAATCTATTGCCTACGACCAATTTGCTTCCGGCGCCTAGAAACAAGCTCCAATCCCTCTGTTGCCATTAGTAACGGCTACATGATGCCCACAGTGGAATATCTTCCTACATCGATTTTTCGTCGACCACCAGGTTCTGTGCATTCTTGTGCGCCTGATAAAAATCGATTTTTCGTTTTCTCAAATTCGATGTGGTCTGTTCATGCTCCTTTGGGGTATGATATCGTCGTTTAAAGTACAAAACCGAGTATGTAAGGTTTCATAAATTATTTTCTAGAAAGTAAAAACAATCATATTTCAAAATGGTTCTCTTTTTTATAAAGCAATCGCATTTCTGACTAGTATATTTCAGGACGAGCTTGTGTGAGCAAATCCAATTTTTGGCAGCAAATGTTATTTACGCAGTTTTGCAAAATGACGATACGCGGTTTTGTCCTTTAAAGGAAATGTTACTATTTCCCTATAGAAAAATTAAAATAACGATTTCTTCTATGAAAGTTAACGGATTTCGGTGATTTTGGTGTCAATTAAAAAATGTGTGAACAGAGCAGCTGTTACGACATTGATTTTCATCTGGCTCACAAATGAGAGTGGAGAAGCCAAAGGAATTAGGAACTTGAGAGAATTTTTCCTAAAAACAAGCAAATTTTGTCGAACAAATGCTATCTATATGAAAACAACAAATAATGTTTAATATTGCAATAATATTTTCTTTTATTATTTTTTCATTAATTTTTGTAATTTTTAAACATTTTCTATGAATACTAAAATTAATTACATGTTAATTATATATAGAATTTTTTATTCATTTGTTATCGTAATTTAGTTTAATTTGTATAAGATTTTTCTTTCCATAGTACCGAAATGCTGTTGGATTTTCAAGCGCTGCTTGTATCCATTGAGAATTGGCAGCGTTTCGCAGCGCCACCGTTATTTTTTATGCCAATTTTCATTTAACTATGGATTTTTTTTTTCACAATGTATAATACAACTGTTTCACATACTGAAATAACTAAAAACTAACAATTTTTTTATTTGCATAATTTTCTTCTTTTTAAATTACATACCTTCTTGTTATTACTAATTACAATCTGCGTAAAGTAACTAAGTTATATGTACAATACATACATACATACATATTTTGCATATGTACATATGTGCATTTTTTTTATTAATTTTTATGTCTATAATACATTGGCGTACTCGAGGGGCGAGCACAAAGTTTCTGCTTTTACGTTTGAAAATTTACAAAGTTTTATTTTTTAATAATTCTGAGTTTAGTTGAATGTTTTTTTTTTTTTTGTGGTAGTTGTAGTTAACATTTGGATGGCACGTTCGAGCGCCTATTTTTATGCCAAAAAGCAGTGACTCAATTATAGGTTATGTAGTTTTACATAATTTTAATCGACTAATTGCTTGTATTTGAAGATTTCATTTTGAAAAGAAACAAAGTACTTATGAGAATAATAGAAATAATTTTGCATAGAAAACAACAGGCTCGTTTAAGAAAATCTGGAAAAATGTAGCCTTCAAAATTCGAAAAGCAGTAATAAGATTCATATTAAGATTTTTAGGAGTTAAAAATAAATCATTTTAAAATATTGAATTAAACGACATTTCTATCGAATTTTTCTATTTCTAAGTCTCAATTTTCTCAAAATTATTTTATTTTAAAATGAAATCGGTTGTAAGGTATAATTTTGCACAGAGAATATTACTTACCCAAAGATATTTTTAAATTTCGAAATCTAAAAGTCAATGAGAAAATGGAAGTGCCGTTTTTTCTAATATAGAGTCCTTTCCCATGTTGAAAAGATAATCGCTTATGACTTGTAAACCCTTGTCTTTTATTATTTTACCGATTTTCTTTAAGGCGAAAAAGGCAAAGTTTGGTAATTTTTCTTTCAGCAGAAATAACCGAAATTTTTTGCCTTCCTTTAGGCATTGACAACAAAATTAAACGCCTCTCGAGATATTCCTGTTTTGATTTTCAGTATTTTTCACTTTGCCTGAGCTTTTCAGGATTTTTTCGGGATTATTAGTCTTATAGGGACTTTTGCATTACTATTCGGGACTTTCTTGGCAATGATTTGGGCTTAAGAATTATCCAGGATTTTTTGGAATTTTATGAGACGCCTAGTTTTCTGCAATTTTTCTGGATTATTTTCAATTCGGAGGCTTCAGGGATTTTCTGGGATTCGCCGTTTTAGTTCTGCGAGAATTTGTGATAACTTTTTGATTTTTGAGCTCGAGCTTTTTTTAGACTCCTCGTTTTTAATTTTTCGGCATTTTATTGTTTTTTGAGGATTTTTTTGAAATTCCTAGATGTTTTCAAGGCTTTTTTCGAATTCATCGTTTTTAATTCTCCGGAATTTTGTTAAATTTTTCTCGAGTTTTTCAATACTTTTTCGGTGTTCTGCATAATAAACTTTTCGGAATTTTTTTCGGCGGGAATTTTTGGCGTTTTTTGTTGACATTCTGGATATTTTTGTGATTTCTTAGATTTTATGGGACTTTTTGAGATCCTTTCCGTTTTATATTAAAGGATCCTTCGTGATTTTTTGCGAGATTGTGCCATCCTTAAATAGATTTTTTCGGGTCCAAAAGTATATTAAAATCTTAGTTTTGATTTGTAAACATAAGTTCAAAAAAATATCATATAAATATTTTACTTATATTTTTGCCAAAAAAATAATAGGCTTTCTTTGCTAAAAATAATACAAGTTAAAAGTTCCTAAAATTCTTTGCTTCTTATTACAAAATGGCTACTCGTGGCGGTATCTGCCTTTTTTTAGAATAAAGTAAATCCTGTTTTTAAAGCCAAATTTCAGACGTAGAGCTGTGTGCTAAATAATACTAGCATTTTGGTATTTCTTAAATTTACAAATAATTTGCAAATAGGAGCCCAAAGTGATTCTTTTGGTTATTTCTTGGGCTGAATAAGAATTGCTGCTTTTTGGCATTTTTTGCATATTTTGTA